CAACTGCTGCTGCTGCACCGCAACTGCTGCTGCTGCCCAGCAACTGCTGCTGCTGCTGCTGCTGCTGCTGGTTGGGAGCAGGACCTGTGGGCCAGAAGACGAGGAGGCCGAGGAGCGCAACAAAGAAGTTGGCGAAGAGGAGAAACAGCAAATAGCTGCCTTTAGCAGCAGCAGCAAAAACGGGGTTTGCTTCGAGTGCTGCACTGACGGAAATGAAAAGATAAATGTGGAAAAGGAATGGCAAGGAAAAGGGCCCCACAAAGAGTGCAGCAGACAGCAGCCGCCACAGCTGCAGCCGCAGCAGCAGCAGCTGCCAGTCCAGCAGCAGCAGCCGCGGCGGCAGCAAACTCGTCGACGCCAGCAGCGCCAGCAGCAAACTTGCTGCTGCTGCAGCACGAGTCACTCCCGGCAAAGACCTCCACCAAACCTCGGGGCCCCGCTCGAGGCCCCGCAGGCCCCCCATCCCCGCCTCCATCCCAAACCCTAAACCCTAAACCCTAAACCCTAAACCCTAAACCCTCGCCTTGCGCCGCGCCCGCTGCGCTCCTGCTCGCCCCTTTCGCCCTTTACTTCTTTTGTTTGCTTCCTCTTATTTATTTATTTATTTATTTTATTTATTTATTTCTTCTTATTTTCGCTTTTTGCTTCTTTCCCCGCGCTGCAGCGGGAAAGTCCAGCAGCAGCAACTTTATCCCAAGTCCGGCTGTCTTGCACCCCCCAGAACCCCCACACGCCACGCGCCCGAGGGTTTAGGCTTTACCCGCGAGGGTTTAGGGTTTAGGGTTTAGGGTTTTGCGCCTTTTCTCGCACACTCGCCTTCTTTTCAGGTGTACAGACACCCCAACTGCAGCAGACGCCGCTGGCCCAGCATGCGCCGCTGGGCCTGAGCGGCTGCGGCGCCGCCGGGCTGCGCTGCTTCCAATTCTTTAATTCTTTTTATTTTTTTTAACCATTTAAATCATTTATTTCAATTTTAAAGAACAATTTGGCCTTCTAAACCGCCAAAAACCACTCGCAAAGCCCCGCGCGGGCTGCCGCCTCGCGCCGCCAGCCGCCGCCAACGAATCCTCTCCGCGTTTGTTCTCGCCCATTTTTAATCCATTTTATTCCATTTTAAAACAACTCTGCAATTTAATTTCATTTATTTAACTTTTGCGCCTTTTCTTGAAGCTTTTCTGCCTTTATTTGCGCCATTTCTGCGCCAACTGGCGCAGTGTACGTACACCGACCCGGTACGTACAGCTCAAGGCTGGTACACCCAAACCCGGTGTGTTCGCGCCGAAAGGTTGGTCCTCTCTAATCAGCTTAATTTAAACCCTAAACCATAAACCCTAAACCCTAAACCCTTAACAATGAAACTAATAATAAAAAAAGAGGCGCAGCCAGTCGCTTGATTTCGTCACTGCCAAGGCTCAGCAGCTGCAGCTGCTGCTGCAGCTGCTGCCGCAGCAGCTGCTGGTGCTGCAACAAAAACAGAGAGGGGCATACAGGGCCACAGCCTAGCCAGCAGCCTCAGACCCTTTCCGCTGGTGCCGCTGCTGCTGCTGCTGCTGCTGCTGCTCTCGCGCTGCAGTTTTCCCATCGACCTCCATCGCACTGCTATCTGCAGCAGCAGCAGCATCACCGCCGCCAGCGACTGCTGCTGCTGCTGCAGCATCCTGAGGCACGGGCTCAGCAGCAGCAGCAACAGCCGCCGGTGGCACTGCTGCTGCTGCTGCTGCTGCCCGCGATTTGCTGCTGCTGTGCTTCTGCGTAAGTGGGAGCTCCTCCCCTTTCTCAATGCTTTCCAATATCTCGCCCAGAGCCTCACAACTCGCCTGCAGCAGCAGAAGCAGCAGCACCAGCAGCAGCAGCACGTGCAGCAGGAGCAGCAGCAAGTGCAGCAGCAGCAGCAGTGTCGTCAGCGCCATAGACACAAGAGAAGATCGAGCAACAGCTACAGCAGCAGCTTCAGCCACAGCAGCAGCACACGCAGCAGCAGCATCCGCAGCAGCAGCACCCGCAGCAGCAGCAGACTCAGCAGCAGCAGCAGCAGCAGCAGCAGGTTCACATTTTTGACGGGGAGGACGTCGAATCTGTCGGAGTGAAACAGAAAAAAAAGTCTGTGGAATCTTTTGATGAAGAAGCAGTTGCTGCTGCTGCTGCTGCTGTCGTCAATGCCGCTTTCGGGGTTTTTGTCTTGCTGCAGCTTCAGCGAGAAATCCCGCAGCTTGTGCTGCAGCTTGTCTGTCAGCCCGAGCTGTTCAACAAAAACAAAATTAATTGATTAATTAATTAAATTAACTAATTATTAGGACAAAAAATAGATTCATTTTGACCAAAATAAACAAAACAAATCCTCTCAGGTGATGTGCGTACTGCAGCAGACACAGGAAAGGTGCAAGTTCGCAGCTGCTGCTGCTGCTGGTGCTGGTGCTGCTGCTGGTGCTGCTGCTGCTGCTGCTGCTGTTACCTCGAGGTACTTGCTGGGCGGGGGGTTGTCCTCCAGCAGACACCATTCGTCAGCTTGCCGCAGCAAAGATATAGGTGGCGGCTGCAGCAGCGGGAACGGTGCTGCTGCTGCTGCTGCTGCTGCTGAGTCTGCTGCTGCAGCCGCTGAATCTGCTGCTGCTGCTGAGTCTGCTGCTGCAGCCGCTGAATCTGCTGCTGCTGCTGAGTCCGCTGCTGCTGCTGCTGCTGCTGCTGCTGCTGGGGTCTCCCACAACAGCAACCAGTCGTAAAAGTCCTCCAGGCTCTCAGCTGCTGCGCTGCCTGCACATCACAACGCACGCAGCAGCAACAGCAGCAAAACCATCAACAGCAGCAAGACCATCAGCAGCAGCAGCAGCAGCAGCGGAAACCTGCAGCCTCTAGCCGCAACTGCAGCTGCATCAAAGCAGCAGCAGCAAAACGTACTTCGTGCTCTGGGTCTCTTTCTACGGGGGCAAGCAGCAGCAGCAGCAGCTGCTGCTGCTGCCGCTGCTGCTGCTTTCTGAA